CGTGGTTACTGTGATTCAGATTTCGCGGGGGATCCAGACACTAGACGTAGTACATCGGGTTATGTGATTTGGTTGAACGGTGGACCAGTGGCATGGAGTTCAAGAAAACAGCCGATTGTAGCTTTATCGAGTACGGAAGCAGAATTTATAGCCGCAGCAAAATGTTGCAAAGAACTTTTATTTATTAGAGATTTGATATTTGAAATGACCAATGAAAAATTAGAAATAGAAATGAAAGTGGACAACCAGTCAGCTATTTGGCTTATGAAGAAAGGTATTATGAATAAAAGAAGCAAACACATAGACGTAAGATACTACTATCTAAAAGATCAGATTGATAACAACAGAATATCGGTCAAATATTGTCCAACGGGTTCACAGTTGGCAGATATACTTACTAAGTGTTTGCCACCAGTGAAGTTTGAGAGGTGTCAAAGAAAACTCGTATCAGAGTGATGTTAGGTAGTGTTAAGTGTGGGCAAAAGTGAACTAAGTACGCTTTCGGTTAATATGTGGGGTATTAGAATATAAGTTTTTATAGGGGTGTGTAATATTTGTAGAAGTGATATAAAGGCGTGATGTAAACTTAAGGTTCCTATTCAATTCTTAGTCAGTTAAAATATTAAGGGGGTGCGTATATTAAGGAAGTTTTTTTTTTCTTGGTTAATAATGATTCATTTAAGGGGGTGAGAAATTAATGAAGTTTTTAAATATTTTTTAAGAAAATAAATGAATCATTATATAATGGCAATAGAAGAGTTACAAACTAATTCTTAAAAAAAAAAAAAAATTACAAATATTTGGAGAGTAATTGGCCTTAAGTTTTGTAATCATGTTTGTTTGTATTATTTATCATGTTTGTTATTATTAATATTTTTTTTAAAACTAATGCATTTGATAGAGTTGATATAGAATATGAGTTTAAATTATGTTAGTAAAGATTTTCTGTATTGTCGCAATGAGGTAGTAGGGTAGGTAGTGTATTTAATTATTTTGTGTATTGAAAGACGGTTTTTATAATTAAGTGGGTTCGAGTAGGAGTTAATTGTTTGAGGTTTTTTATGATAAGTGGGATCGAGTAGGAGTTAATTGTTTGAAGTGTTTATGGTAAGTGGGATCGAGTAGAAGTTAATTGTTTGAAGTTTTTTATGATAAAGTAAGTCGAGTAGGAGATGAGTTAGGTAAATGATTTTATATAGCTGAAGTTTTGTCGAGAAGAAGATAAGAAAGTTTGTTTTAAGATATTAGTTTAAGAGACAGTTAGGGATTTATATTGTGAAATGTAAAGGGATATATAGGAGTTTATAGAGGTAAGGTAAAATGGATCTGAGAGATCGGGAATAAGAAATATATCTACGGTAGTTCTTGGTTGTCATTCTAAATTAATATTTGTAATGGCAGGTAGAAGTCTAAGTTAGGACAGTCAGCATGTGCAACAGATTGAGGGGGTGTGTTGAGGGAGACCTCCTTGGTTTAAGATCTTTTTAATTTTCATTTAAATATTGACAATCTGTTCTGCACATGCGCGTCTATTATTTATATATATTAATGTCTCTCTTCGTAAAGCTGTTGTCGGTGCTGTTTATGTTTTTATAAAGTACATATATATAATTTTGGTGGTAAATAAACTCATGTGATCTAAAAGCTCCCTAGTCTTTCTCTATACCCGTTTTACCATCGGGTATCATCGCAAATGTTTGTTTATTCATGAGATTGCACAATCTGTCAATATCCTATTAATATTATAAAGGCGAAAGTTTGTAAGTATGGATGTATGGATGTTTGTTACTCTTTCACGAAAAAACTACTGGACGGATTTGGATAAAACTTTACAGCAATATAGGTTATACATCAGAATAACACATAGGGTACTTTTTACTGGGAAAACTTCTCACTCCCACGGGATACCGACTTCCACGCGGACGAAGTCGCGGGCGTCCACTAGTCGATTATAAATCTTCTCTACATCGAATTGCATGTGCGTACTCATAGTCTGTGATATCACTTATAACATCAATTGTATGAGGTCTCGACCGGCTCGATCTACTTTTCGCAATCTCATATGCACGGGTATACTAATATTACCAAATCAACAAAATATATTCAATTTGACAAAATAATATGGCAATATCCCTGCTATATAAATATTCACCTATTTATATAGCAGGGATATTGCCATATTTTTCTCGAACTCGATGGTATAGTAGTTAGCATGTTTGATCTGCGATTGCAGAGTTTAAGCGACGATCGCAAACCCCGGTAATAGGATGGATGCTCAAATTTTTTTCGGAACGTTTTAGGACGACCGTCGTCCCAGCACGATTTATTGGGTACATTGATTTCATCCATTAAGAATACTTGTGCTTTAGAACCACCAAACCGCATTGGGTCTTCCACATGGGCCTAATGAGGAATGCCAGGTGGTCAGCGCGCATAAACTGCGAATTGGATGGGTGACCAAATTTTTTTACATTTTACTAAGTATAAAAGAAGAAAAGAGAGCAAAAACCCGCAAAAAACCTCATCTAGCAACGCTTATCCTAATTCACTATACTAAACCAATTAGAAAAAAAATAAACTTGGCAATCGCAGATCAAACGCACCTATATATAGGATATAAATAAACGATTATTCATTCAGAGGTAATCTATTTATGACGTTGATAACAATTCAAGGCAGTACCAATGTTCTAATTAACATTTCTTTTGAAATTGTGTAATACACTAAAAAAATAAATTGTGAAATTTCTAAGTCCAATTTTGCCGTCAAAATTTCGTTACGAATTAAATTTAATTTCGTTTGTTGAAATATTTTATAACCCTTTCAGAGTGACAACTGCATACAAGTACTGAGTTTTCTCCTTCACGTATCAGCACCTTACTGTTACGATATTTTTGTCACATTTCTTCATTTTACGAAAACCTGTTTTATAACCACATATACATCATCCATATATTACAAGGATTCATGGCAAACATAGTTGTTAGAATAACAATGTTAATGTTAATCATAATCGTTAAAAAATGAATTGCTACCACTACAAGATTCACTTAGACAAACATAAACGCAACACTTTTCACCATTTTAATAGTTGTTAATAGTTTGGTTCGACTTTCACAAGTGCTCTGTAAAAGCCTAAACTGAACTACTTAAATAAAAATACCCATGACACTTCACAGGGAAATCAGTAAAAAGAAATGAACAAATAGCCTTGTTTTGATAATTAGTACATTTTTTTTATTATATTATAATATTAACGAAATTAATGTACTTATATAATAACTTAAAAATTTAAAAACATTGTCCATTAAAAATCTAAGTTTTCCACTAAGGTTATTTTAGTTTTAATTTTTAATGAACGATATTTTTACAATGGCCATTTTAAATGAGCGAGACACATGGCCCCTGTTGTGACTATCTTTTACAGCTCGGATTAGCTTTTATACAAAGAGCAATCAAAAGTAAACTTTAAATAATAACAATGAGGTTCATTTTTGTGTATATAAATTTTCGGAGTAAATCCCGGAGTCCCATAGAATTAATAAGTACCACTACGTACAACGTACTTATAAATTCTATGCGTACCACCTGTCCGCCATTTGCAAAGTTGCAGTGTGTATTCTCGAAAGTAGTTCAGCTGTCGGTGTTATAAGTTTTGTGGTTATTTTCATTTATAACTTTAATTTATATAACTTTCATGGCAGAAAATTGTAAATTATTTATGCAAAACAATGCCTAGGTGCAGTGTAATTGGTTGTGCGTCATCGATATCCCGCAAACCGAGCAATATTACGTTTCACCGGTAAGTTAAACAATTTCTTAGAAAAACAGTATTTAAAACGTAAGTTATTCTGAAAAAAATAATCGTATATATCGTATAAATCGATACATATCGTATTTTGGCGTGTTCTATTTATGTTATATTGCTCTTTTCGTTTATATTTTTATAATATTTTGGTCCGTAAATAATGTTGTTTACATGGCTAGTGTTGTTACTTTAACATTTGGTTTATATAGATAATTTTATTATTTAAAAATATATTTATTATTTTAGATTACCAAAAGATAAAACAAAAAGAGGAATATGGCTGAGTTCCATTGGAGCAGAAAATATTAAATATAATGAAAAAGTTACTTTTATCTGCTCACTTCATTTTAGGGAAAGTTGTTTGGATCGAACTTTAAATATAATAAAATTACGAGATGATGCATTGCCAATTAAATACGCTGGTAAGAATTTTGACAATTGCTTTAAACTTAATTTTACAATATTTTTGTCTATTACACTTAGTTAATTTTCATTTGATTTTACTGATTTATTTATTTAGTTTTTTATATAGTAATTTTGTTATTCTATAAATGTGCCTTATTTTAGTCTTGCGGCCATATGGCAACTATTTTAATTGAAAAATATCAGAATGCAATATATAATAATATTAAAATATAAAATTCTGATCATAATATACTCCCAGTAAAATAACAATAAAATGAGTTAAATAATTCTGATATATACCTTTTTACTAAGTACTATAGACGAAACAAGGAGCCTTGATTGATCTGACATTATGTCAATCTATATAAAAATCCTCTTCCCCCGGACCACCGCATTAGGTGAACGTGTCTCTAAATCTGTGCTAAAATTATTTAGAAAATAGTTCAAATTTAAATAAATTTAAAAGAACAAAAATAATAGGGCTGCATAAGACTAGAAGAGTCAAATCAAGACTACATGTGAGTACCTCCTATATTCTGTTGCCCTGGTACTTTCTACTACTTGAACAACGAATCAACGCACGCGCAACAAATACAGTGCCCACCCCTTTTACACTAATTGCGGTAAGTGGACACGCCCGGTTACTCGACTGGCCACTCACTTATACTAGGTGCCACCCACTTTTCGTGGTTGCGAGTCCATTGCTGCTTTTGAGAAAAAATTTAAAGTGCATTGATAAGTTAGTAAAGGTCACCTCTTTCTGGTTTATGCAAACCTAATCACCAGCATGATGGACAAATCCTTCTCCGACTCAAATTTAAATGTAACTGCAACTGACTCTAACAAGACACCGCCTAACTTCATATCTCAGCGAATAAAAAGAAAAAGAGATGATGACTTTTTTGAAGAAATGGACAAATTCAGAGAGGAAATAAAATTGATGATTCATTCAATGTTAGCACCACAAAATACTGAACTAAGTAAGATTTCTCCCACATTGATTGAAATACAGCAAATTAACAAAAATATTGAAAATTCGATTACCTTCTTAACGTCGCAAAATAAAGAACTGCAAGGGAAAATAGAACAGTATGAAATACAAGCTAAAAGAGACCGAGAACATATTACTTTGCTTGAAGATAAAATCGAGGAGCTACAGAGACTGGACAGGAAAAATAATTTGGAGATAAAAAATGTCCCAAAAGCGAAGAATGAAACAAAGGATGGACTAGTGAATATGGTACTCTCTCTATCTAAGAATGTTGGCTGTGAATTATCTAAGTCTGATATAAAGGACATCTACCGAATAAAGAGTAAGAAAGAGGGTCCAAATAATATGCCCATAATAGTAGAGACTGGATCGACGCTATTGAAAAATGATTTATTAAAATCATGTAAATCGTTTAATGTGAAACATAGAGGGAAATTATGTGCCAAAAATATGGGATTCACTGTAAATGAAGATACTCCCATATTTATTTTGGAGCAACTAACTGCCAAAGGCTCTAGACTCTTCTTCTTAGCAAGAGACCTCGTCAAGACAAAGTCCTACAAATTTTGTTGGACTAGCTTTGGTCGGGTTTTCGTCAGAAAAAACGAGCAAACACCAATCATTCTAATTAAAAGTGAATCGCAAGTTCATCATCTGTTGCAAGTAGCATGACTAGTTAATTTCCTAATTTTGTTTAAGAATGTTAGCCTGCTTAGTCTTAGTCTTTTAGTCTTAATATATTTTATTTGTTTGTATGGATTTTGTGAGCTCATGTGCATACAAAAACATCACATTATGCCATTTTTCTCATATACACTTAAAAAAAAGAACTTCACACACACCTATGCATTAGTGAGGGATGTTAATATTAAAACTCCGTTAAGTAATCTACCTTGTTATATTCAAATAATTTACGCACTGTCTTCGTTGTTAAGAATGTTTTATACTCAGGTTTCTATCTGTTCGCACTTTTATTTTTTACAGATAACACTGACTTAACAATAAAATATTTAATAAAATAATCAAATTGCTATGAACAGATCTTTTACTAACGAAAGCGAATTAGACAACATTGCAACAGCACACGCTGTAAAATGTGAAATTGATGAAGTGATGAAATATATACACATAAGCGATCGAGATGTAACAATTGTGACACAAAACATTCGCAGTATTTATAATAACTTGGACGATTTACAGGTTACACTTGAGCAATTAAATTTTGAAATTGATGTCCAAATACTAACAGAGTGCCGTCTAAGCTCTAACAAAAACATTCCATGCATAACTAATTATGATTCATTTGCTACAACAAATCATATAAATCAGAATGACGGAGTAGTTGCATTTGTTAGAAAAGCACACGAAGTTAATTTTGTAGAGATACAACTTGTACATGCATCTTGCCTTCAAATTTCCTTTCGAGATATTGTAATAATAGGCATATATCGTTCTCCATCGAATGTCAATGCTGAAAGCTTTATAGATTCCCTTAATTCATATTTAAATAAACTGCATGGTTATAGAAATATTATATTGACGGGGGACATAAATATAAATTTGATAGAAAAAGAAAATGAACCAACTCAAGAGCGTAACAACCGAATAAACTATCTTAACATGCTCTCGGTGCATGGTTTTCTCCCTGGACATCTTTTTCCAACTAGAGGAAATAACTGCCTGGATCACTTCATGTTAAACGTCGACACAAATAAAAAGCAAGCTTTTGTCGCCGTAATTGAGACAACGGTAACAGATCATGAAATGGTTCTACTAAAGCTTTTGAATAGTTCAAATCCAAAAAGTTCATATGTGAAAACTACTCAAACTCTTGATTATGAGCAAGCTGTAAAAGAGTTGAACAACATAAATCTCCTTTTGGAATGTACTGACCCAAATGAATTAACTAATAAATTAATTGACAATATAAAAGTTGTAATACAAAGAAACACCAAAATAATTAAATTAAAGAGAAAAAATCGTACAAGTAAACCGTGGATTACCCCGGGTATTCTAAGATGCATCACAAACAGAAATAAGATGCAAAAAAAGTTGCGACAAGATCCTACAAATGAAACTCTAATAATAACTTATAGGAGATATCGTAATTATATCAATAATTTAATAAAAAAGTTAAAACGTAACTATGAGCGAGAACTACTGGCTAAATCAAAAGATAATAACAAGAAATTATGGCAATGCATAAATTGTATGGCAAACATAAAACCTAAGAAAACTCCAAATATAAATTTGTTTAACCTTAAACCTCCTCCTGTGGATTCTGTTAATGCAGTAAATGAGTACTTTGCTAATATTGGTAGTGATTTGGCTAAAAATATCTCGACGGCTGATTTTGGATGCGAGTACAATGAACATAAATCAGGAACACAATTAAACTCATTCGTATTACTAGAAGCTGATGAAGGTGAGGTAGAAGATATTATAATGAACCTTAAGACAGACAGTGCACCTGGATGGGACAATATACCCACCAGATCTTTAAAAATAGCTCATACACAAATCGTACCTGTCATAACCCGTCTGGCTAATTTATGCGTCCAAACTGGTATTTTCCCAATGGTCCTTAAGGAGGCTATAGTAACACCAGTGCATAAGAGTGGAAGTGCAGATTGCGTCAGCAACTATCGCCCTATATCAGTCCTGACATCCATCACAAAGATTATGGAAAAGCTCATTAACACTAGACTTAAAAACTACTTAGATGGGACACAAATTCTTTCTGATTCACAATATGGCTTTAGACGCGGTCGATCTACTGAAGACGCTGTTACTGAGTTGACTTCTTTAATAGTTCAACATGTTGACAATCATCAAAAAAGTCTAGGAGTGTTTCTTGACATAAAAAAAGTCTTTGATGTGGTTTCTGTTCCGATCCTTTTACAAAGACTGGAAGCATATGGGATTCGTGGTATTCCACTTGCATTATTAACTAGCTACCTAGAAAACAGAAAGCAGCGAGTTAAGCTGGGTGATCACATAAGTGATCAAGCTGTAATATCATATGGTGTACCTCAAGGGAGCGTACTCGGTCCAACGCTATTTTTGATATATATAAATGAGTTATGTAATCTTAAATTACATAATGCAAAGATATTCTCATATGCGGATGACACAGCCATAATATTTAGAGGGAATTCATGGAACGAAGTCAAAAAAATCACTCAGGAGGGATTGTGTAAAGTGACACGCTGGCTCAATGCGTATCTTCTCACTCTAAATATTGGTAAAACAAAGTATTTGTGTTTTACTATTGATAAGAGAACGCAACCTAAAGAAGACTTTCAAATAAGAATGCATGAGTGCGGAAATGCAAGTAACTTAACCTGTCCCTGCAAATTTATCGAAAAAGTTTCATTTATCAAATATCTAGGTGTTGTAATAGATGAACGCCTATCGTGGCACTTACATATAGACATGATCATGGGCCGGTTAAGGAAACTTATATGGGTATTTAAAAAATTGAGACATATAGCTTCTAAGGCCTTACTGAGCAAAATTTATATCGCATTAGCCCAATCCATAATTTGCTACTGTATTCCTGTTTGGGGAGGAGCTGGTAAAGTCAAATTTTTGGAATTGGAAAGAACACAAAGATGCCTGCTCAAGGTCATGTATTTTTTACCTTACAGATTTTCTTCTGATGAACTTTATAACCTTAGTAGTGTACTGTCTGTAAGAAAATTATATATTCTAAATTCTACACTTAAATTGCATAAGTCACTGTCATATGACCCCACTATTTTAAATAAAAGAAGAAAGTACAAAGTTATCCCGACCTTAATTACTCACACTGCTTTTGCTGCTATACAATACGACAATCAGGTTAACATTTTATATAATAACCTGAATAAAAAATTGGATATATACCCTATGAATCATTATCGCTGTAAAGAAACCCTAATCGATTGGCTAAAGACACTCAATTATACAGAGACAGAAAGACTAATAAAATCTATTCGATAATGCTTTAGATTGGAGTATGTATTAACAACCTTGAATTAACACATTTTTCCTCACATACACTCACACACACATACAGTTACTCTCACTCACACATATATATACATACACACTGACAAATGCACAAGCACTTAGTAAGATGGGCATTGAATAATAATGTTAGTATTGTTTTCCTTATTGAATCGGTAATGCTATTGTCTCTTTCTTTTCATTATTTATCATAAAATTTATAAGTATACTTCTATATAACGACTGGAAGAGCGGTGGCCTCCTGATACAGGTATTATATGTACTTAAAAGGAGGCACACCATGATGTTCGTTATTGTAAATTGTGGAGAGATAAAAAAGTATTATTATTATTATTATTTAAATATATTTATAATTTACTCTTCCCGACCCCTCGACGATTCGAGGGGGGGGAGGATTCCCCCCGGCAGAGGAGGCCAGACGGCCGGGGGTCAGGGCGACAAAGAGAGAAAACGGCGGACGATCCTTGCGTTATCGAGCAAGATCGCCCGCTGGAGCCTCGCAATCATTGGTCCGTCACGGAGTCCCAACCTCTTCAGATGGTCGTGAAGAGAAGTCGGGACTAGGCCATTCGTTGACACTACGACTGGGATGATCTCAGTGGATGACACTCGCCACATATCGGTAACCTCGTGCGCCAGGTTCAGATATTTAAGTTTTTTATCTGATTCGGCTTTCACGAGGTTTTCATCGAATGGGACGGTGACATCCACTAAGAACACCCGAGATTCCGCCCGGTCCATCAGTACGATATCAGGCTTGTTCGCAGGAACAGTCCTGTCCGTAATGACGGACCGGTCCCAGTATAATCGAGCGCGGTCATTTTCAAGAACTGGCTCCGGCACATACTTATAGTACGGCACCTTTTCGCCTATGAGGCCGTATTTGAAGGCTAGCTCGAGATGGAGTATTTTGGCTGCTTGGTCATGTCTGTGCAAATACTCGGTATTAGCCAGTACAGGACAACCGGAAGTAATATGCCTGAGTGACTCACCGGGCTGGTGACAGGCTCTACAAACATCCTCTGTCCCATCCTTCAGGATATACTTCCGGTAGTTTCGGGTCATAATGACCTGGATTATTATTATTTATTATTATTATTATTATTATTATTATAAATAAATGAAATGCTGTAAATACATATAATTTTTTAATTCAATATAGATATATAACAAATTGGCGACGAGATGTCGGAAAATATAAAAAAACTAAAGAAAGTACGCGCTTCTTTACGAGGATTACTAACAAGAAGTGAAAATTATGTAAGTCAATTGGAAAATTTGCCTAATGAAGAAATCGATTCTAGGTTGAATTCCTTACAAGATCTATTACAAAAGTTACAAAATTTGCAAAAAGATATAGAATTTGAAATAGATGACACCAATTTAGACGAGGAAATACAATACAGATTTGATTTTGAAGAGACTTACATTAAAATTAGAACAAAATATTTGACCTAAATGAAAGGTTACTTCAAATCAAATACTGTCTACGGCGCACTCCTATTAGAGAAAATCGGTCACCATATCAGTTGATGTTTGGAAGAGTTATTCGTACAAAATTACAGGCGATGGTTCATAAGCCGAAGCAAAATCAGGGTCGAAATGCAAGTAGAATCAGCCCTGATTCTACTTGCATTTCGACCCTGATTTTGAAAAATGAAATGCTGTAAATACATATAATTTTTAATTCAATATAGAAATATAACAAATTCTAGTAAAAATTTAAAGGTTTTCTTTGCTGTTCAATAGTATAATCTTAATACCCAAATAAATATTTTGCGGCGTGGCTGTTTATTTTGCTGATGCATCATAAAATACGCTACCTTTTTGTATTTAAATTGCTGACCGTTATCATGATTGTTTACAGAACATGAATTGCAGACAGTTTTAGTGCTGAGAAAGTATTTGTATGCTTGCCCATTGATTTATCGGCTGTTTTCTTTTTGCTAACCAAATTTTTAAATAAAATGCCAATTGTTACTTTTTTAATAAATTATATCACTTTTTCATCTACCAACCTTGTTTTCTTTATTTTCTCTTGTTTATTCATCAAAGTTTCTTTTACAAATAATATAATACAAAGATTATGTAGGTATTTCAAGTTTTCTATGTTTACTACTAAACAAGATGCTCTGAACTAAAATTGTGATACAGTACGCACGGTATCTCACTTAATGAGGAGTAAGCGAAATTTATTAAAGTTTGTGAGGATGAATGTTGGTTACTCTCATGCAAAAACTACTGAACGGATTTTGATGAAATTTGGAATACGAATAATCTTTTACCGGTGGGAAGCGCCATCATACGCTGGTAACATAGGTTATAATTACTATACTGACGCAACGGAGTCGCAAGAACAATGAGACTTTTAGATGTCCAACAAAACACGATCAAAAGATTGCTTAAATATTTACAAATAATTGATAAATTCACGCCACTTTTAACAAAATATTATTTTCTTAAAACTGGCGTGAATTTATCTATTTAATTAATAATAATCATAAATAGGATTGGTACGTAAGTGTGAAACGAATAGAAGTTTAATAGGTAATAGTTTAGCCATGCCCCTAACAATGGAAATTATATTACTTTATTTATAAGTAGTTGTTTTGTAGCAGTTTCACGAAATACTAACTTTTATTTAATATGACTTCAATGTCGATACAAATATCGATATCATGGGTCGCGCCCTATGACAGTCCGCCATCGAAGAATTTGCATTTCAAGTTTAGGCATATACACTTATTTCGTAGGTATGGCCGGTCCTCTTCTTTAATGTCTATGGTCTGTATTTAACCCTGGAATAATGTAGAATATAAAAGGATATTTTACCTTTATAAAGAACAATGTACTAAAGATGTGGCTGTATGGATATTTCCAAAGCCGTTAATAAATAAACAAAAAAAAAATCCTGGGATAATGGAAATATGACAGCCAAGACCAGACAAAGCAGAGTTTGATAAACAACTTTGTTTATTGTTAAACTTTTGAGATTTCTTTCAGTGAAAGTGTTGATACGTTAGTTTTATATCATGTCAGACTGTGACTCTCAAAAACCAGAATGCTCTAAAGATAACATTTCCACTAACTCAATTGACGAAGGTTTACCAAGAGAGCTCAGTCAGCTGAGTCTTTCCAGTGCATCGAGTCAAGATGAATTTTATTGTGATAAGGGACATTCCGAAACAGCTCTTAAGAATATATTTCAATATTTCCAATCCCAAAAGCTATGCGACGTGACTCTAATTGCTGGAGGGTGTAGGTAAGTGGTTTAAAAATAAAAAAATATTGGCGCATTTTACAATTTATAGCTGGCCTCGTTTAAAACTTCAAAGGACAAAATGTATAGTTTTATGAATGCTTTTTTAGGATTCCAGCTCACAAAGTGATGCTGGCCTCATGCAGTGAGTACTTTGCGGCTATGTTCACTGGATCTCTAAAAGAATCACAATTAACAGAAATAACTTTAGAACGTGTTGATTCACAAGCACTCCAAGCTCTTATACGATATTGTTATACTGGTACTATAGGTATGTTATAAATCTCATTTAGATTGCATAATATTTTAGTATTTTATTACTGCCTTGTTTTTAACTTTGATAATAAAAATAACTCATTGCAGAATTGAGAGAAGAAACTGTGGAGATACTTTTATCAACTGCCAATCTACTACAATTAAACACAGTGATAGAAGCCTGTTGCACTTTTTTAAAGAAGCAGCTTGACCCATGCAATAGTTTAGGGATTGCTTTGTTTGCTGAACAACAATCTTGTATGAATTTACATAAAAGTGCAATGGAGTATACATATCAACATTTCATGCAGGTAAACATCATCGGTTTCTGGGAGCGTAATTTTGGCTTATAGAGCCATTATATTATAATTAAATTATACTAATTGACACATTCTAAAATTGTTCTATGGTACAGACTGAAAAAAATTTGAGAGCTCTGCAGATTAATATGAAGAAAGTTACAGGTTATTCCTTTTTTTTTTTATTTGTTAGGTTATGCTAACTTGCATATTAACAGAATTCAGGGGCCGTCCATTAATTACATTAATCACAAGGGGGAAAGGAGGTCCATAAAAAAATCATGAAATATCACAAGGGGAAGGGGGATGTAGTACCATATCATATGTATTTATTTTTTTCTCAAACATGTGATTACTAAACCAAAAAGCAGTGTCAAAAATTAAGATTTTTTTGTAGGTATTAAAAATAATTAATTGACAGACCCTGAGCAAAGCTACACTACCTATCAGTTTAAATTGAAGAAATATTGCTATAGAAATATACCTGGTACAAGAACAAAATATTAAAAAAAGACAAGACTATAATATTTTACTAAAATAAATTTCAACTTAAAACTTTCCAAAAAAAAATGAGAAGAATAATAGATGAAATAAAAAAAATAAAACAGACTTCAAAAAGATTTCAAAAAGTTAATTGAAGTATGACCAAAGTTTTAAACAGATTATTAATATTATCTACAAGATTTGACTTTAGTTAGAGGTTCTTAAATATTTTTTGTATAAATGTCACCAAAATTACAAATACCAAATAAGTAACTTGATGTTAAAATAGCAAAAAAAACATTATTTTTGTGTTGAGATGCAAGATCTATCCGTTGAATACTATTTTATTCCCTTTATAATATTTATCTTCTGTCATTCTTACATAAAGTTTGGTCTTTTTATTTAAATTCATTGATATTGGGCCTAAAATGCAGAACAAATTGATGAGGTGCTATCTTTTACTTACTCAACAAAATTCAACACACTAGAAGCCAAAAATTGAGAAACATTAAAAATATTGTAATACCACTTACCACTTATTCGCCAGAGGGTGTCAAATTGCATGAACATTTATAAGTATTCCTTCAGTTGTTACTGTTGCTCTCAGCATTAATGTTATTCATGGGCTGATTTATGGTATCCAGTGTTCACCCCAGGTACACTAATAAATGAGATGTTGTAAAAATTACAAATAATAAAATTATATAGCAAAAGTCTTTGTACTATGGAAATCTGGAACAGCAAAGAATAACCTTATAAATGATGATAACTTAAAAACAGCATCCAAGACACCTGTATGTAGAAGTTATCAAATTATTCCCTATTCTTTCGATAGCATATAAGATTTTAAATTTTATTAATAGTGATTAAATAATATCTGGAACACTAATAATTCAATTCAATCATTTTTAGGTTGTAAAACATCAAGAATTTTTATCACTTCAAACTGAACAGCTATCAAGTTTACTTAAGTCAGATGACCTAAATGTCATTACTGAAGAAAATGTGTTTGAGAGCATGATGACATGGGTGCAACATGATATTGCCAATAGAGAACATCACTTGGCAACATTACTTAAATTGATCAAGTTACCTTTGCTCTCATCAGAGGTATGAATTTTGTCTTTTAATAATAGAAAAAAAAATTGTTTTCTTTTTCTGAATTATATCAGTCATGCACAGATATGCTAGCCATAATCATGCTGCCTCTGAATATATAATAATAATAATAAATATTAACAATACATAATAATTAACTTTTGACTTAGTTATTTTTAAATAATAAAATTGACTGTGAAAAATAATTGCATTTTTTGAAGTTGGATTTATTTCAAATAATGATGATAATCTTCTGTTTTTTGTGAATGACACGAATTTAAGATATATTTATAAGAATATTTTTTTTTTTTGTGAAAACAAAAACCTTCTTTGAAAAAGTTGAACCCATAAGCTATTGAATAAAAAAGAATTTAGAAAATATGCCTGCAATTCATAGAGAAATTGGTGAATGAATATATAAAAAAATACATAGGAGATACCTCCTATCAAATATATAACTGTCTCCTTTTGGTTTTATAGTTTATTAAAAAAGGATGAGATAAAGGAGAGAATATGTTTAAAATGTAATGACTAACTGACTGATGTGATGATAATTACCTATTTTGTTTATTATACATCTCTTATTTTTAGTATTTAATAGACATAGTAGAGCAAGCTTGTGGTAATGTGCCTGAATGCCAACCGTTAATAATGGAAGCAGTGAAATGGCATCTTCTTCCTGAACGCCGAGCCCTTCTCTTCTCACACAGAACACGGCCAAGAACTTCAACAATAGGACGCCTTCTAGCTATTGGTGGTATGGACTGCATAAAGGTTAGTATTTTTACATCCATTTATTTCAAAAACTATTTATTGTCAATACTAAGATTACAATGTAATTATTAATTTAGGGAGCCAGTAATATGGAGATGTATGATCCACGGACTAATACCTGGACGCCCTTTATGAGAATGGGTGCGAGAAGACTTCAATTCGGCGTCGCTGTGATACAAAACAAACTCATAGTTGTAGGAGGACGAGACGGACTTAAGACTTTGAATACGGTATTTATTTGTAATTGCCTTGAACAAAGTGTTTATAAATTACATAGTTATGTTTCAATAATCATTTAATTTGTCAACAGGTGGAATGCTTTGATCTTACATCTCAGACCTGGAACACTTTAGCTCCAATGAATACTCATCGTCACGGTTTAGGCGTCGCCGTATTGGGAGACGGACCAAACTCGCCCGTTTATGCAGTAGGTGGACATGACGGCTGGATATATTTGAATTCTGTTGAACGGTAAGTGAATCATTTGAATAAATACTTTTCAAACTGTATTTTCATTTTGACTTGTTTCGAAGTATTATCACAGATATTTTAATAAATACAATACTAGTAGTATTATGAAGTAGTAAGTATTATTTCAACAGAGAAGCACTAGCACATAGAATAAAGAAACCGGCGGCGTGATGCTGTTTTATATATAATAAGGATGATGAATAGGTAAAAAAAAAGAGTCCATCAGTCAATAATAGAAAAATATTAGATACATATTTTTAGCTTAAATTTAACAAGACTAAATGTACAAAAGCGTGACTTTAAGTGAATTTTCACTCAATGTATCGCCGTAAAATACAGGCAGTCCTCGACTAACGTCGTTTCTATTTACGTCGTTTCAAGTTACGTCAAACAATGTTTTAACACTTCCTCAAGCATATGTCAATTGTTTCGATTTCCGGCATAGGAGAATTCACTTGTCGCGAGGTCGATGACCGTGGGGTTTTAATGTTAATAACAAAATTTGTGAAGCCTATCAGTGTTACCAAGACCTGTATGATAGCGAGAAGAAAGATGCGAAGCAATTAAGAATTTATAGTTTGTTTAAGCCGAAAGTTTAATTTATTATTTCTCATTGCATATATTGATTATTAAAGTTTTATTATTATTATTGAAATATTAAAAAAAAAAACTAGCAATTTCATAAGTACATTTATAATTATTTTAAGTTTAATTATTTACTTTTTGATAATAAAGTATGTATATCCTTTGTTATAAATGTAGTTTTTTGTTTATTTTGAATCCGTTTGGAACCTAACCCTTGAGTTTTACATGTAAACATATGAAAACACATGTCTCGACTTACGTTTCGCTTTACGTCGCGTATTTCGAGAACCTAACATGCCGTAAGTACGAGGACTGCCTATATTGATTATGCAAAATATAAAAAAATACTTTCATATTCTTCAATAATCTTCCTGATTGAAAAAAAACATCCCTATGGTATTTAATTTATCTGCAAAAACGTATCGAATTATAATAGTTTTATTAATAACCATGTATAAAATCATGTACCATATTAGTATAGTAATCATTCCAATGCCAATATTAATAAGATGTGTTCAAAGCAAAATTTTAAGGTGTCTTATGTGATATAAAAGTTAGATTTTTACTAAGTATAGGTAATACATATATGTTCTTACAATTTTTTTTATTTGGGGTTAAAAAAATACTCATGCATTATTCCTATTGGTATAGTTGGGACGCATGCTCTCGTACTTGGACTATCGTGTCGCCTATGACGGGCGCTCGTAGCACATGCGGCGTAGCTGCGTTACGCGGGCGACTGTACGCGGTGGGCGGCCGCGATGGTGCCGCTTGTCTACGTTCCGTAGAGTGCTACGATCCTACTACCAACCACTGGACGAATTGCGCGCCAATGACACGTAGACGCGGTGGCGTCAGTGTGAGTATATCTGTATATCTACATAGTCATACTCATTCTACATAACCGAATCTCATAGAATATTTCTTCTGTATAGCTGTTAATTTCTCTCATTATCCTATCAAACAGAATAGGGCCATTTCAGTATAATATAATTATGCATGATCATATCGCCATAGATTTCAATTATGCCCTTGGGCTGGATTGAGATTAAGATTGAGTTCATTATAAATTAAAAAACATATATAATTATGTTAGTATTTGTTCATAACGTAATTTATGAAGCAAATCAATTGTACTTAATAAATTATTACAAATGCACTTAATGATAAAAAGATTGATATTAAAGATCTAGCTTTTTTATTCAACGATTATTATATGTTATGTGTTAACTGCACATCATGTTATACCAAGCTGTCAAATGTCTATGTAAAATCATTACGAAAATTTTGAAAATTTGCTAATCAAATTTGTTGCTTTCTGATCTGTAGTAAGTAATGAGGAAGTATTTAAAAAAAACGAAAGCACTAAAAAAGACACATCTTATTCAGTTTCTTGAAATGTGACATTACACGATGCTTCGTCACGGTCGGCGTTTACATTCTTGTAATTCACATATTATAAATTTTATAATTGGTATTAATACAAAAAATACTACATTGCTATGGTTTACATATAGGTTACCATCATATTTATTATCCCATTAATAGGTTCATGATGAAATTGTCTCTAAAATTAGGTATGTGCATCAACTGGCTACTTATACGCGTTGGGTGGACATGAAGCACCAGCTAACATAGTAGGGGGGCGACTTGCGTGTGTTGAGCGATACGATCCCGTTACCGACACCTGGGTACTACTCGCCAGGCTCTCCTATGGCAGGGACGCCATCGGCTCCTGTCTCCTCGGTGATCGGATTGTCGCTGTCGGTTAGTTTACTTACATATATTTATTAGATATACATATATGTTTTACATGTAAGCCGTGGAAGGTCTACCCCGATCAAATTGCTCGTATGTTATCAATATTGTAAATTATCGATAACACACATCACTAATGTAAATTCTTTTATTGAATTATTAAAAAACAACTCACTACAATGAAGACACACCCAGCCAAACTGAGATATAGAAAAGAATTTTCCCAGCCATCAAATGATTATGAGATCTCTAAGATATATCATTATATGAGTAACAGTATAACATATACATATAATAATGTCTTTTAGAACGTAAGTATCCATGTTACCACATCGTTATAAGATCAGTATATACTTTCAATCAATTTAGAAGCTAGTGGCACAAACGTCCATTTAAATTGTCATTCATTCATTAGAGCTTAAAGTCATTAAACATTAAATGGAAGTTTGAGCAACTCACCGTAAATCTACAATTAAAAAAATAATAGGGTAAAATTTTTTAATTGGCTATCTGATTACATAACTGATAGGAATGCTTGCACTTATTGATGTAGCAGCCATCACACAGAAAATGTGATTATTTTTCGAAATATTTGTTATATATAATTAAAATAAAAAGTTGCAATGCTCGTTCTGCTCATCAAAAGACGTCCTGAGTTTTTGACTTTAACTTACCATGAATATAACAGAATATATTTGAATTTACCATCTCAAAGTACCTGGGGCTGATGGATGTTAGTACGCCGTCGCAATCACATGCGAATGGGAAACAGTTGCAAAATCTTGCCAGTTGTATGTCAAAGTTTCGCATGTGCTGTGTCTCGCTCTATTATTAGCTCGAAGAAATAACTAACTAAAATAATAACTGCCAATAAGGTGCCAATAATTACACAGACGGCGTAGTGGATAAGCGCCGTTAAGCAACTTTCGCAAAGGTCGGTCAAGGGATGTGTGACCAAAAAATTATTATCTCGGGCTACTCCGTGCTTCGGAAGGCACGTTAAGCCGTTTGTCCCGGCTGCATTTGCATTCGTTAATACCCTCCAATCCGCATTGGGCAAAATCAAAGTCAAAATAATCTTTATTCAAATAGACTTCTTAAAAGTACTTTTGATTCGTCCAACATTTTTTCCCCTACCACTCGTTCAGGGCGTCTTTTGGCTGATAAGAAGAACGAGCAAGGAACTCACCAGCTCTAATAAGAGTAATGACATTTACAAAAACCATGTCATTACCAGATCAATACATTATAAACAGAGAGAAAAAAAAAACTATGGTCTTATAATGATAACATAACCATTTAATAAAAATGGAAACAAGATAATGAGTTTAGAAGTAATCAGCTATCCAGTTGCTGGATCATCTCAAGTCCAAGCGTTCTTATTTGTTATATAATCGGATACCTTATAATAAACTTTTTAAATAAGTATTTTTTTAATGGTAGATTTAAACTGCATGATATCTAATTGTTGTATTTTGCTTGGGACCTTATTGTAGAAGCGCACACAAAGACCCTTAAATGAGTTATAAACTTTTTGCAGTCTAGTGACAGGCACCATTCATTTATTTTTATTTCTTGTATTAAAAATGTGTACAAAGGGCATACTCCTTATCCATCCATAAGGAAGGCCTGAACCCCTGCAGTGGGGACGTAAAAGGGCTGATGATGATGATGACACACGCACACGTTTCGCATTCAGGATTGCACCCCGTCCCGATTTCGTGTGACAATTTCTCGAAATTTGACAACCCTGTTCACATTCGCATGCGTTTGCGTCGGTGTACTACCACATTAAGAATATATTTGTATGCCAGGCGGTTACGATGGCATGCAATACTTACACGTGGTGGAGGTGTACGACTCCGAGTCGAACTGTTGGCGTCAACTGGCGCCGCTTACTATGGGACGGGCGGGCGCGGCCGTCGTCGCGATACCGCAACCGAAGAGTGTGTTCTGATATCGTGTGTACCAGTTGCACGTCTTCGTGCTTGCGTGACGTCACCACACATCTAACGTGAGTTTAGCCTTACCAACTCTATTTTATATATATACATATAATAAGTTGAGATCTAAAAATAAATTTAATTATCAAAATTTCCCGCGAAAACGCCATCTTTTGTCATGGCGTCGCTATAACGTCACGCCCCTCTGATAATGTTCTATAAATGCATTCTCTAAGTTCTGATGTGAGTAGGAGGAGCGTGACGTCACCCGCTATTTGCGCGTGACAACCAGTATCAAATATTTGAGTTTTCATAATTAAGTAATATTATAAATATAATAAGCATAAAAGTTTGATTCTCGGTAATAGTATATTGAAGAATACCCGAAAAAAATAATAATATGTATTTATTTTTGTTTACTGTCTACACACGTATTTCTACAAGACAATTGCCTACTTGATTGTTTTAAGAAGAGTATTTAATAACTTTAATATCAGATTTATTTCCCTCCGACAAGCGTTATTAAATTAAGGAATAACATATTTTTATTTTATTCATTTAAATTGACCAGCGAAAACAATATATTACGTGACATTTCGAGTTGTGAGGTCACATACCAATAAACATAAGTAATGGGTGCACCCGCAACAAAGACGTTAAGTTTTAGTTTATTGAAATATGATGTCGCACGATGCTTCGTCATAGCCGCCCGCGTTTCGGCTCTTGTAATCCACATTATAAATTAAGTAAGTTAATATTGCAATAAGAAAGTACACTTACGATTTATATTTAAAAAAAACTATAATTATTGTGTACATATAAATTGCCATTTCCAACATATTTAATAATTTAATAAAGTAACTGTTAGTTAGCCAATTTCCACTATTCAATTAAGTTTGATATAAATAAATACCTCTTTAGTATCTCTATCTATAAAAAATCAGCAAAAAACTAAAGGTTGCTTATCCTAAAGCTTAGCAGATTATACTGTTGAAATGAAAATAATACTGTAATAAAACCTCGTTTCGATTCTTTTGACCGATGAGTGACAAGCATTATAAATAGTTTTTCATTTCTATAGTTTTAGTCACATTGCTCTGTCATTGAATACTGTGCGGGCATTTTTCATTAATTTCCATATTAATCGTTTGATCAACCTAACAACCCATTAAACCGAACCGGACCAGACCGGCAGAAATCCACACCACGGAACCGATTTCCAGTTCACTAAGCTTTACTAAAGATATAAAATGGCATAAATCTGCATTATTTTTGTAATAACGACTTACAACCAGAGATGTTCATTGAAATAGATTGAAGTGCTTCAAAGTGCAAAAAAAACAATATAGTTCAATAGGTCATCGAAGTCTATTGAAGGCCAATGAAGTTAAATAGTCCATTAAATTCATTCTACTGTCGGCGGTATCGTATACAGATTTTATCTTTACACGCTCGGGATAGACTTGCTTGTCGTGTCTGGTCCGGTGTCTCATGTAAAAAGTATTTTATTTAAATTCAATAATGTTAATAACATTATTCATTTTGTTCACAGAGTTTTGAGTGATCGTCAAGTTTACCAAAATAAAAGAATCCACGTTTACAACCATTCTTGGCATACTGATCTCATTAACTTGAAAAAGAAATCATTAGGATAATTATACTTATGGTAGAATCCTTTTATTTGGAAATTTTAATTGTGTTTATACTGATTTACATATTTGTAGACTGCTAGTGTAATTTTACCTATGTACTCTCTTAGATATAATGCGTATTCGGATTATTTTTATTTAAGAATATAGACTTTTATAATGTTTTAAGAAAATTATATGTAGATTGGCAAATTGTATAATCATTTTAAATTAAAATAAGACAAATTTAAATTTATTTTATGTAATTTCAAGAAAAGTTGAATCTTTTTTTATAAAGCTACAAGATATACTGTTTAAGACACCATATTCCAGTTGTATAGTAGTTGGATTATGACTTCACGGATTTAATAAACACGTAAGTGTCAAAAAATATATAAAGAAAAAACCAAGGTATTTGACTTTAACGGTGCTAGGTCGTTAAGGGATCATCCAATTTTCTCACATAAGCCTCGAAAGGAAGGAAGGGAGGCGGGAAAAAAATCACGAAATATCTTAGGGACTGTAGTGAAATATCACGTTTTTTCCCCAATGGGCAATGGATTCGGAATCACGGCAGTATGCACCGGTCTCTTGTAATCACGCCAATACAATGTCGTCCGCCAGATCGAAATATATATTCAAATGTTGACCCTGAATGGCTTTGTAAAACCGACATAGATATATACAAAAAAGCACATTGTTAACAACTGACTAGCAATCAAAATATCACGTGATTAATGGACGAACCTTACATATATGCAAAGAAATTGAGTGGCTTTATCGCACGAGCAAGCGATGCGATTACTTGCACAATGAAGTTACCCTGAAAGTAGAATTTTAACTGTATTCACATCAGAGGCGTAGCGGCCGGACCCCGTAAAAAAAATTGTTTGGGGGGCCCCTATGAAGGGTAAAGATTTCTCACAAAAGAAAAAAATGAACTTTAATCGTTTGTACATCGATTATTGTGGCATTCCCCCGTTGAAGTAAATGACTTAAACGGAGAATTTCCGCAGCCCGCGAAAACGATATAGGTGTTGCCAACTTTGAAAAACAATTTACGCGGAATTTGTTTTTACTTTTGTCACTTTTGAAATAAAAAGAAATTTGGGAAGTTCTTATTAATTATTGAATATACAGTTACGGCTGTAGCTACGCCCCTGATTTTCATAATCACAAGATAAATACCCATCATAGCAATATTATAGATAGTATTTTTGTGCTCGCTGAATTCAAAATCACACACATTCTAGGTCTAAAGAAATTTGTGTGTTTAATCCAGTCGTACGCTGAAATCGCACCGTTTCCTCGTACGATCGCAAACAATTTGAATATATTAGGCGTCCGCTTCGAGTTGTCTGTCGACGACAGTCACTGAACGACGTCATAGGTAAATAAACTGGTACAAAAAACTTACTCGACTTAATTTTCCATCAATTAAAAACGAGTTGGGAGTTAACAAATAATTCATCGTCATCAATCATCACATGTTATGTGAAAACAATACCTGATGCATAAAAAACAGGAGCGATAATAGTGACCGATTATGACAGATGTAATTGTTGAAGCTAGCGGTACGGTTAGGGAATCTGTCTAGTTATGCGGTACGGTGAAGCGTGGCAGGCTAGCTCGAAGTGAACAGCTACCAACACCCACCCAAAGATTATTTTATTATTGTATCTATAATCAGAATTTATGATTATGGCCAAGATCCTTCTGCTATACAAAATTTAGTAAAGTTATAAAGTATATGTGCTTTTCCGATTTTGTTATACTTAAAAACAGTATTAATTTTGTATTATTTACTTTTATTTGTGTGCTATTTTATATCCACTATTTTTATGTTATAATATAAAAACAATAGGTATTCAGCGGACTATCATAATCATACGAATGAGTTTTTGTATGGGATTGCCCTGTGATGTTAAAACTGTATAGGAATGTCAATTTCAAATGCAGGATAAATTGTATTCTTGTCTTATATCCTACCTTCCAAGTAAAGTAATTGGGAGGTTTAAGTAACTATAGTAAATGTATTTAAGTAACAATAGCAAGTCGCATTTTTTATAAAAAAAAAATACAGTAATAAAATGAAATGAAAAATACTTTGTTTCGACTTTGACATATATTTTACCTTAGTAGCCTCGATAGCGCACAGGATAGTGATACCCGGGGCCGACATGAGGTGACATGCTTCTATACGGTTAGTCTTATGCTAGTGGCTTGCAATCCTATTTTTCCTTGCCACAGTAACTGCCTAACTCTCGCTTTATCTCGCGCCATAACTATATAAACATTTTATTGATATAATCAATGAATGTTAATGTTCTGTAAAATGTTCATATTTTATTATTTACATATTTAATCAATGACTTTAGCGTTTTAGTTTTTTTTTTTAATATAAAATTTAAAAAAGTATAATCATTTCGAAAAGATAAATAAACCAAAGTATTTATTAAATATTGACATAATATAAAACATATCATTGTTAAAGAATATTAACAGATTAATTGATAAAATCAATAAAACGTATTTATACGGCTATGACTACAGTTATAGCGAGAATTGAACAATCTAATAAAGGTCGGGGAAAGTCGCTAGATGTCCTACATCTGCCTACAGCGCAGGATTCATCGGCGTAGAGATCTATGGGCAAGGTCTATACCAGCAATGGATTCAGCAGCAATACTTCAGTATGTGGAAGTACTAAAAGTGTATGTATATCAGTCAGTATACAGTGCGAATGTCAGGTGCTTGGAATGTATCAACTCTTAAAGTCGATCAAGTTTTTGTATTCCTTATCCTACCGCCATCAGGTGTTCCATTACTTCTGTCTGCACTGGGTGATTATACCCTTTTAAGGTAACGCAGGGGAAATGTACCTTAAGCCTTAAACCAGAGTTCTCAAATCTTCATGTCCTGAGGACAGATTGAAGCGTGTTTGGATCCGGTATCTAGCAAGGGGGAATCCGGCCCCATAGGCAGTGGCGTAACTATACCGTTTGAGGCCCGTGACAAATTCATCGGACATTAAATTTTTTTCAGGAGTCAGGAGTAAGGAGTCTCCTCTGACCGGGGACCCTTCCAGCTGTGGCCCATGGCATTTTGCCGACTTTGCCACTCTGTAGTTACGCCACTGCCCATAGGGTATACTCTTAGTACTTCAACATACTGAAACATTATGCTTTAAAAAGCTCTTGCACATTTTGTCATGAGTTCGCAGACTATCAGAAATAGCAGGACCGCCAGAAACTATAGGTAGATTATTCTTGTTACTTTTATGAAGGGAATTTGCCATAATCGCCAAGTTGGCAGGTGGGCCAAAGATCCCAAGAAACAGCAGTTCTATCTCAGTTGCGTATGACTGTGTACTCAATAAAACCATTATTTATTTGTTAGAAGTGTATTAATAATATATATAAAGAGTCACTGGCCAATATTACATCAGTGGACAAATAAATTCCTGTTGTTACTCACATGAACAAATTATTCAAGCTGGTTTAAACTAAATTTTATATCAGTCACTTATGTTAGTAAAGGCACATGAGCCAAGTTTTTAACTAAAAAGAAGTGTACAAATAAAAATTATTACCTCTGTAACACTAAATACTGAGTAAGAAAGCCTTGGTTTTAAAATAAATATTAAACTTAAGCTTCATCATCACTGCCCGCTTGCTGTTTAGGCTTAGGTCCGCCTGCCCTCTTTGCCATTATAATTTGGTCAACTTTCAATATTGTTGTGGCAGCACCAACTGCATACTTAAGTCCCCAACTCTTTAAGACATATAAATCCAAAATTCCTTTTTCATTTGCATCTATGACGCCACTGTTTTCAGAATCAATATCATAACCAGCATTTTTATTGCCATTCTGTAAAAAAAAATATTAATATCAATAATATATTGGTATAAAAATGTGAATGAAAAAGTGGTGTGGTGATTAATAGTTATTTTATGGAACATGTGCTAGGTTATAATATATATATCAGGGGTGGACAACTTGTTTAGACCCAAGAATGACTTTTCACTGACACACCCAGTACGATCTACAAATTACTTTACTTATTAAAATCTTAAATGAAACAGCATAGTGTGTACACAATTATGTAGCATTTTTATTTTATTTATATTTTATGAATTGCCACAATTGACTGGTCTATCGTGATCAACCATGATATATGTATTTATGTAAAGATAAGTCTGATAGATTTATCTTTTGTCTCAATATTGGATCTGTAGAAAATATGCAGACAAATACTGATTAAAGTATTTTTTATATTCAAACCTTGATAACACATCTTTTCCATAACTTATCTTACCTTGTGTGCTTTGTAGATATTGTTGATTACTTCTGTAGCATTTGCCCCTGAGTTGTCTGCCAAAGCACGAGGGATACTTTCTAAAACTACTGCAAATTTTCTCACAGCATATTGTTCCAGCCCTGGTAATGTATCTGCATACTCAAGAAGCCTTTGTGCCAATTCAATTTCTGTTGCTCCAGCACCAGGTAAGAAACTAGCAAAAAAAACAGCATTCAGTGTCGAAGTATACAGCATTTTTTAATTGCATTGTTTTATAGAAGACATTGTAAAAACTTACCGTCCATCTCTAGAAATACCCTTGAATGTATTAACACCGTCATCAATAGCTCTTTCAATATCATCCATATAGTTGTCAGTGGAGCCCCTAATAACTACAGTAGATATGCGGGATTCAACACTTTGCATTTGGAATACTACAACCCTTGTATCTCCCAATTCTTCCACTTTAACAGTGTCGCAGTAACCAAGCTCTTGAGAAGTAGGGGTAGTCAGCCGTGGTAGCACCTTGGAGATGAGTTTATAATTATATCACATTACATTAACTACATATTTATTACTATTAAAATTTTTATACTTACAGTGGCATTTACTGTTCGAGCAAGGCGGCGAAGATCAAATTTGGAATTAAGACGAACAGCCATAACTCCAAATTTATTTAAGAAATGCAAAGCCATATCTCCAAATTTAGCTCCAGCAACAATAACTTTAACTCCAGCATCTGCTATGTCTTTAATCTGCTTTTCCAGAAGAGACTCTTCACCCCTACTGAAATTGAGAAGCTCATCTGCTGTTTTGATAAGAACTGTGCCCTTTGTTTCAGTTTGTGTAATATCTACTTGACAAGAGTAAACAGCTACTTTAGCTTGGTTTACTGAACTTATATCTCCTTCCACTTCACGCTTGAATACCATGCCAGATAGAACTTCAGATTGCAAAAGACCAGAACCCAGGATCTGAAAAGTTAAGGAAATTAATATGAATTTGTTACAATAATAATGTTTATTGATACAAATAAAAATGTTAAATGTCCATCTTAAGACTATAATTCCTACCTTGCATATTCTGACATTGTCCACATTGAATGTTGTTTTTTCAGGCAAAATGGCTACACATGCTTTCGCCACTAGTTCAGCAATAAAATCTTCATTTCCATACTGCTTGGACATTATCGATGGTCTGACACCTTTTACAACAGCTGCAACATCTTTATAGTCATTTATTTTATGGCATACTAGTTCCGGTAGTATTTCTAAGCACTTGTCCAAAGCTTTTTCATATCCTTCAGCTATTTCACTTGTGGTTACGCCTAAACGCAACAATTCTTCAGCAGCTTCCAAAAGAGCACCTGATAGTACAATCACAAAATTTGTACCATCACCAACTTCAGTATCTTGCATTTGGCTTGCAAGAACCATTAACTTGGCAGCAGGATGCTCAACATCTAGTTCTCGAATGATAGTGCCTGCATCACTAGTGACAAACTGTTTGTCAATGTGATTGATTATCATTTTATTCATACCATTTGGACCATAGGCAGAACGTACACTCTGAGCAAATTGTTTACAAGCATTAATGTTTCTATAGACAGCTTCTTCTAATCCAGAAAACATCTAAGAGAAGAAAAAAATAAAAATCGGTAAAAAGCGCACATAAAATAAATGACGAAAAGTTGGGAATTTGACGTTAAAAGACCTAAACACATTTTTTTTTTCAGTATTCATATAGTATTTCACATCGGTGTTATGAATTATCGAAAACATAGTTATAAATCGTAAGTTTTAAAAACATTTGTTCCTTTCACAACAGCCATGTAAAATCACTCTTTGGTTATGTATGGTGGAACTTACCCGTGCACCATCTTTCAACATTTGGGGTACCCCAGGAGCTTTTGGAACATGCAGAGCCATTTTTGATGTTTTCAAAGAAATTAATGTTAAATTTATGAAATAAAATGTATCGAAACTGTTCCTTGACACAAACTCGAGCACGCGCTTTATCACAGACTACAAAAGTACTCTTTGCAGACTAAGAAAGAAGAAGGTACCAATACCAGACCAAAGAGAATTTAAACTTAAATTCTGCTAAGGTCGATTAGATTTTATTCATAAAAATGCCGAAATTATGCCGAATAATAAAATCATCAAAATATTTGACTATCGAACTATGTGGCAATCAGTTGTCTTTGTTTAGTATAAAGTAGGTTTTAGTTGTCTTTGTTTAGAATAAAGTACGGTATATAATATTTCCATAACGCACAGAATTTGTAAACTTGACTATAGTTAAAACATTAACCAGTTGTTAACCCGCTATTTCGTTTTTGATGCCAAATTTAACCACTGGTTAATTTGTTGCCAGCACAATGAGTCGCTCTTTCGCTATACATTCCCAGATAGCAATTTAAACTTGTTTCTGACTTGCAACAAGTTTGATACATCAAAAAAGAAGACTTGCTTCAAGTATTCCATGACAACTGCATCAAGTTCAAATCAAACTTTCTAGTTTCAGTGTGACAAACTTGCAGTACCTTTGACGTATCAAAGGTAGTATAAATGTACCTAGGATAATTATAACTACTACTACCGTAGTAGTAATAATAATTTTCCTAGTTACTGACTCGAATACCTAGCAGATACACGGGTACTCGAGTGCCTGGAATACAGGTTTCGCGGCTAATATTACCTTAAATTTACCAAGTTCTTATTAATCTTTTGATCATTCAATTTTTTTTTTCCAAAAGCGATTGCGACTTTAAACTCGGACCACTGCACAAAGCCTAGCCTTAAAGCCAAAGTAGTTAACTGGAACAGTTGGTTTCGAATTCCATATTAAGATCACATTAAACGGCATATTACTTATACACTCTATATCTCTACTATATATAAACCTTAATTACCACTCACTGTCTCACGCACTCACTCAATGCTTTTTTCAGGCAGAAGGAGGTGGAAAATGACGTTTTCATGTATGGAGAGTGACAATATTTTTTTATCGAGTTGAAATGGTATTGCTATGCAGCCAAAAAACAAAATGGCGGCGAGATATTTTTTTAGTTTCTACATTATTCACTCTACGGTTACGATATTCAAAATGGTCGTAGATTTGGCTAAAAAAATGGCAATGAAAAAGGGTTTGATTAAAAAAAAAACAAAGTGGCCTGGAAAATTGGCATTTTTCGACCTCTATTCGGGCGATCGTCACTTCTTATGTGGTGGTTTCGGAGGGTAGATTTTTGCTCCTTCAGCTCGGAAGTATAGTCGATTATCACGTAGGGGGGTTTTTATTTGCGTGTCAATATGGCGGCGGTGGTGGCGGCCATTATGTTTCGGCAATGAAAAATCGCCAATTTCCAGTGAGATTTTCTCCAAAATCCGGCGTCGGGCGGATTCACGTTCTATAGGCCGGTCGTGGGGCTCAGAAGTAGGGATGATCGATATTAGAAAAACATCGATGTCATCATCGTAAGCCCAACATCGATGTCCGATATTTATCGAAAAATGAACATCGATGTTGGAAAACATCGATGATTATTTGCAATAATTTACAAAGAAATAAAATACAGTGTATCTTTCGGAATTTCGGAATTTTGAAACAGGAAAAAACATTACATATTCCAATATTTTATATCAACTGATTGAAAGAAAACTAATTTTGATAAGGAAGAACCTTTTAATCTATTTCTTTATTGATAAAGAGTAGAGCCAACTTTTCTAAACATGTATGTAAAAATATGTATTTCGAGATATGTATGTATTACATACACAAAAAATCAGTTTTTTTTATCAAAATTTTAATGTTTTTGGTAATAACGATTAATTTAAATTGATATTAATATTATCAAATATTAAATAATGCATTGGTCTTGCGTGAGGCCGTGAGTTAACATTGATGATGGATTTTGTTAACATCGATGTTAAGACATTGATTTTTTTGTTTACAACATCGTCGATTATAAAAAAACGATCTTTATAGCGCGAGTCTGATTATGACCCTTATGAATTATGAATTGTTTAATAAAATTTTGATAAGGTACCTAAGAGCGCTGAAGTCGACAGACTTATTTTTAACTTCTTTGGAAAATGCAAGCAAAGAGAAAAAAATATTTGTTTGACTACTCCAGTTAGGAGTGCAACCGATGATATTAAGTTAAAACAGTTGAAGTTGATATATGAGATCATCTAGCTATTACATCTAGAGCACGTAAGAATACCCTAAGGATATATTGATATTTTGTTCATAAACATCGATGTTTGGCTAGAAAACATCGATGTGCCGATGTTATCGAACTTAAAACATCGATGACAAAACATCGATATTTTCTAGCTAAACATCGATGTTTATTAAATATCCATGAATATCGATCATCCCTACTCAGAAGGATCTTTTTACTTCACTACCGATTTCTACCATTTTCGTAGTAGTTTATGAGATTTTGGGAGAAAAGAGAAATTAGGAAAAACGGACTTTTCACGGAAAACAGACTCGATGCGGTGTGACGCCGGGGGACTTTTGGTAGTTTTTATTTTTCCGAGCTGACAACCCTGAGCCTCACGATAGAAAACATGTTTTTCGACATGCCCTCATAACCCGAATAGGGTATTTGACACTTTTCTGAAAACTATTTTAAATCGTTGTTTGCTACATTATAAACACACTGTCATAATATTTCATTGGAATCTTTTCTATTTTTGGTGAAAATAATTGTTAAAATTTAAATAGCCAAAGGCGCGCGAAAAACGCTGCTCTATGTAATGGCGCTGATCGTGACGTCACAGGCCAGTAAATATGTCAAATCGATCAGTAACAACTGTCTTTAGAGTAAATTAGGGATGATCGATATTGACATCGAAGTCAACATTCGATGAAAACCATCGATGTTCCCGAAACATCGATTACATTGCTATTAAAGGAATTGACCAGCTTTAGAAAAAAGCCTCTCTGAAGCCGTGGAAGTCGCTGTGTAACATAAATATTTTAATGCAATCTTTTTTAATGTGGGATAGGTGGATACTACCCCTTAACATAAAAGTAATGGAATAAAACAAGTGTCATAAAAAATCACGCGGGAGCTTCACGAAGAGAGAACGAGCCCAACGAGCATAAAGTAACTTTTTTTTTATAAACATAAATGACCTTTTTCCGTTTTACACAGAAATTTTGCGGGATAGTGAGAAATTGTTCAGTTACGGTTTTTAATAGTTTTCTTCCTCCCTTGTTCTAAAAGTACAACACATGGCAAACGTCACAAATTGTACTAATAAATTAAATAAATATATGATAGTGCCATGTAGATTATAGTGTATTGTAATATTTTTTTATATGCTTTCAAGACGCAAAAAGATAGGTATGTTAGTAATAGACAAGATAGTATTTAGGTAATGGGACGGGGGGTTTTAGACGGAAGTTGCTCATATTAAGAAGGTTGTTTCAGATAGTTGAAGAAAATGGGATCAGTGGTGCCTTTTTCGATTCCGCACTCGCACGAGGAATTATCTAATGTACTGATCTTTGAAACTAAGACCGGTGAATAAAGTAACTTATAAGATACTAACGAGCGCTGAAGTTGACAGATATATTTCTAATTTCCTAGGAAAATGCAAGCAAAGAAAAAACTATTTGTTTGCGTTACGAGTGCAACCGGTGCACATGCAATCGATGTGCCGATGTTATCCAATTTAAAACATCGATGTTTATTCAACATCGATGAATATCGAGCATCCCTAGAGTAAATTGAAATAATAATTTTAAAGAGAAATTGAAGTCGTAGTGCGTATTTTTTACGTTTTCTATTTTCCTCTGCTCTGGTTTTCTTTAAAAATTGAGCTACAAGTGGTGTGTAGTGCCACAATGTACTAACTCTTCTATAAATAACAAACAAACTTCGAGTCTAGAAGAAAATAGATATACAATCACAATATTATAGTAGAGATGGGTGATAAAATTAGGTAAGGATTCGCTAAAAGTATTGAAACTATTTATTTCATATCGATACATTTGAAGGTTTTCTTTTTGGTTTTTTCTTTGTCATTAACATTTTACGACTCATTTATATTTGTTGTCAGGGCTCGCACTTTACAGCCTGTCGACCTACAGATGGATGAGACATTAGTACGAAAAAGAATTTTGTTTTTTTTTTATACATGCATATGTAGTATGTCTGTCCACTAAATTCATGGCATTTGATAATTAGATATCAGATACCGATGATTTTTTTAAAATTGGTTTTTAACTTGGAGAACACAATATATCATCAAAATCGACTTTGTAATTTTGAATTATTATAGTAAAGTTCAAGAAATGAGAAAACCATGCAAGTTGCTCTTTTTTTAAATTGCAAGCGTTTTCCCTAATTCTTGGATTTTTTAAAAAGCTTAGTAATTTTTCTGTATTTCTTTTTGGCAGTTCTTATCAGTAGAAGCGGCAAAGTATTCTGTTATCAGTAAATTACTATAAAGTACTCGATACCTACAGGCATTGATATTTTATGTATCTCCTTACACTACTTTGACATGACAGCTGATGACGTTACAGGCCAGTAAACAGAATCGTGATTGGTTGTGACGACGACCAAAGAGTAGTATAATATATGACGACGACCAATTATAGGACGTTTTGGTCGTTGAATAAATTCCTAAAAAAATTGCATTTTCTTTACGTTATTTTACTAAATCTAAACAGGTTTTTTCTGCAGATGTTAAGAAATAAGCTTTATTAGATTATTATCTATCAGGATGACCACAAAATGCAACTTATTTTCCAAAGTGTCAAATACCCTATTGTTTGGGAACCTGGGTGGCCAGTGGAGAGAATCTGTGAATGTGAATCGATGCAAATATTTTAATTTTAAGTTTTTAAGACACCTGATGGAAAAATAGACTGATCGATAGGCAACACTGAGAGCAAACAACGTTTGAAATTCTGTGTTTGGCATGTATGGGGCGATTATGTATCTCTTTAAACTCTTTCATATGGTGGAAAAAAATTACACGATTTTAGGGTAATTTTTGAGATTTACCCCCAAAAACTGTAA